AGGACCCGAGGCCGGCGCCCGGCGGCCCCTTCCGGCCCTGGGGAGAGCGGTGCGCCCCGCTCTGAGGCCCCGGGTCCGGCCGCGCCTGCAGATTCCGGGGGCGCGCCCCGATACCTGCGGCCCTGTGCGGCGGAGCCGGGCGCTGCGCTCGACCCTGCTGCCCGGAAGGTCTGGAGCGCGGGCGGGGCTGCACCTGTGCCCACCCGGGGCTGCACCTGCGCCCACCTGCGCAGGTGGCCGGCCTTCCCCTGTCCCCCGGGGGAGGGGCCTCAGGCCGGTGGCGAGTTCAGCGCCAACTTGCCGGGGCAGCCGGTAGCAGCTCTCAGCGTCCCCGCGCGCGGTTCTGTCCAGCTGGCCTTTCCCAGAGGCCTGAAGCCAAACGGGCTTGAACTTGCCAGCCACACGCGAGTGTTTTTGGCGCACATGTTTTTTGGAGTGCTCTGTTTGAATGTGGGTTTACACAGATTATTCAGTTAATGCTGCAAGTAAATAATACTTGTTTTTAAAGTGTGTCACCATCCTCCTGAGCCAAAGGCAACGCCGTAAACCACATTGAGCTTCTGTGTATCACAGCTTAAAAATCAGAAAGAGCTGAATTTCTCCAGACTTGAGCCCTTTACCAATGTAGATGTGTGCCGTCTTTTTTTTTTTTTTTTTTTTTTTAGAGGAACCGGGGATTGAACTCAGGCCCTTGCGCTTGCCAAGCAAACACTTATTCTACTGGGCCATGTCCCCGACCCTAGGTGTGCCGTCTTAAAAATTTTATGGTAGAATTCAGATCGGAAGTTACCTAGCACACCTAGCACATCGTGACATTGAAATAGTCGTAGACTGGGTTTGAAAATGGCGATGGAATCTTTTACACCCTTGTTATGTTTCAGATGGGAAGCTCCTGTCTAGTGACGTTACTCATTACGTGATCCCAGACTGGAAGGTTGTTCAAGATTACCTCGAGATCCTCGAGTTTCCGGAACTGAAGGGAATTATTTTCATGCAAACGGCTTGTCAGTCGGTACAGCATCAGAGGGGCCGGAGGTACCTGCTTTGCTAGCTTCAGTTCTCTCTCCTCACCCCTCGCTCACGTTTCTAGCGCAGCTTTCCCTGTAGTTCCCGAAAAGGCCCCTGCTTAGAAGGGAAAGGGTAGAATTCATTATTTTGTTCAGAAAAGACTTTTCAAACTAATTTGATATTCTCTTTGCTAGCCAAGAATGCGGTAACATTGTATTGTATTTCTGCCTCAGCACTCTGCCAAAAGATCTGACTGTATGCAGATCGATAAACTTCAGGGTCCATCGTATAGAGGTACTTAAGATTCTGAACTGTCTTTAGCTTTGCCTTTTTTTGAGTCGGTGACTGTAAATGCAGTTCAGGTTGGTCTTAAATTCACTATGTAGCTGAGTCTGCCCTTGAACTCAAGGGTGATCCTCCTGCCTCAGCCTCCCTAGTGCTGGGATTACAGGTGTTGCTTTGCGTTTTTATAACAGTAGCACTATTTTTTTTCAAACATTATTTAATCTTATTTATAAATTGTTTATTGTGTTTGTGGTTTTTTTTGTTTGTTTGTTTGTTTTTTTTTAGCAGCCTATATTCTCTTCGTGGGGAAAAGAGGACTTAAATTTTAGGCTCTTATGCTGTGAATGTCAGTTGTAGTTATAACCATTATTATTGTGGGGTTTTTTTGTTTTTGTTTTTTGACAGAATTGGGGATTGAACTCAGGCTCTTGCGCTTGCCAGGGAAGTGCTTATTCCACTGAGCCATCTCCCCAGCTCAATTGTACTTATAATGATTCAAGAAACTGAAAACAACTTTAGATTACTAGTGTAACTAACAACCATTTTAACTGGTGGGGTTTTTTGTTGTTGTTTTCTGTATTTTAGGGAAGGGTCTACATGGTGTTCAGGGTCTCGCTACTAGATCGGACTCATAGTGATCTGACTCTTTACAGCCTCCCAAGAGCTGGGATTAGAGGTGCTCACCACCACGCCCAGTCTCAATTGCCAGGGGCAGGGCTGGCATGGCAGATCCGAACCCCCGGCCCCTGTGCCTGCTTGCGTGCACTTTAATCTGCTATTTGGTGGGCCCTTGTATTTGCTAACCAAAAAGTTTCTAATTGACCCCATCTAAAATAATTGCCTCAGCCAGGCATGAACACCTGTAATCCTATCACTTGGGAGTCGGAGGCAGAAGGATTTCCCAAGTTCGAGGCCAGCCTGGGCTATCTAGTTAGTTCAGGAGCAGCCTGAACTATACAACAACACTGTGTCTCAAAAAGCCTAATTAATTAATAGAAAAGGGCTGGGGAGATAGTTCAGTAGAATAAGCGCAAGATCCTGAGTTCAATCCCCAGTACCGGGAAAAAAAAAAAAAAAAAAAGGCTTCCTTGGGCAATGTAGTGAGTTCAAAGCCAACCTCAATTATATTGGGGCCGGGGAGATGTCTCAGTAGGATAAGCACTTCCCTGGCAAGGGCGAGGGCCTGAGTTCAATCCCGGGTTCCACAAAAATAAATAAATATAATAAATAAAAGACAATACTTGCATTGTACTAAATGAAGAATAGTTGCCCACATTTTAAACAAATCTTCTAAAAGCTAGTTTGCTTCATTAACATTGGAAAAGGTTTTTATGATTTGAGCTTGACTATGTATATAGCATATTGGACTCATATCGAGCCTCTTAGCATCGCAGGTTATTTAATAAGAAGAAGCGATGTCTTTATTCTTTTTTTAAAAAAAAATCTTCTGGTTTCTTCGGGCCTTGGAAGTAAAAAATGAAGTGGTTTCATTTGTATGCGAAAATGACAAATTGTTGTTATGATATGCTCAGTTCAAAAAAAATGCACATTAGCTAGATTGTGTACAGATTTTTTTCAGATAGAATATTTTAAAATGACTTGAAGGTGATTTTGTTCAGACACAAAGATATAAACGTTTACATACATCTGAGTTTAAACGCTGCTCCAGGTGTCATATTTCAATTTCTGCTGCTAAAATCAATTTGTTGTTATCATCGGGATTGTGAACACAGTGCAGGCCTTTTCAACTTCTGTTTTCTAAAATATTTTTAATGTTAAGGATTGCTTTAAAACGAATTCCTGGGACATTCGAAGGCAAAGAGTTGGAATTTAAATGTCTTTTCTCCTGCATGGTTCAAAAGTAGTTAAGTTGATGAGAAATTATGGCTTTTCTACTACTTTCCAGTGGCTCTGAATGTACTAGAAGCGAATACAAAAGATGAGAATTATGAAGTGCGTCCTCGTGATAAGGATTTCTGTTTGCTAAGCCCATTTGGAGGTCCCGCTTTGAGGCATGGGAATTGCTAAAGTCTTAGTACCTCTCACCTCAGCCCTGTTGTCTTGTTGGGGCTAGAAGCTGGAAACAAAAGGGTCATTATGAGGCAAAAGAGCCACTGAAAGTGCAGTTAAATCTAAACCATCCCAAATGCGGAAGTAAGCCAGGTGCGGTGGCACACGCCTATAATCTCTGCTCTTCACAGACTGCGTGGGAGGAGGAGGCTGAGGCAGGAGGATCTCTGTTAGCTCAAGGCCAGCCTGAAAAGAAAAGCAAGCAAGAAAGCAAACAAGCTGAAGTCTGTGTGGGGTGTGAAGATTAAGCCAGAATGTCTCAGGAATAGATTTGAGTTGTTTTGTTTTGTTTTTGAGACAGAATCTTACTGTATAAATGAAGGGGAGGGGAGGGGAGAAGAGGGGGGGAGAGGCGGATGTGTGTCAGGATGAGGTGTGTCTTTGGTCTCCGAGCTCCCTTCCCATGAGTCCTGCTCACCACCCTGGGCTAAGAGCTGAGGGAAAGAAGTAGAGTGAAAAAAAAAAAAAAAAAAAAGGCAAGTACCCAAGTCTAGCCTAAGTGCCTTGGTGGGGGCAACTACCAAAAAGAAAAAAGATTGTGGAGGCGGTGAACCATCCACAACTTGCCCTGTTAATTTACTGAGCTGCATCTCCAAGTCTTCAGAAAGGCTTGGAGAATGAGCCAAATTATGCTATTAAATGTCTGTGAGAACTAAAACAGTCGCACCTGCGGCAGTCCTCCTGGCTCAGCTTCCCAGGTAGTGGGATTACAAATGTGCAGCACCACACTCCTAGCCTTAAAAAGCCTATTATGAACGTAATTGTCGAGAAAGAAGCAGCAAAGGGCGTCAACCCACGTGGCCCTTAGCATTTGATTTACCTGTTAAGCAACCAGCAGGTGCCCTTAGGTTAGCAGTTTAATAATCCTGATTGCCTAATCCCTAGAGAGTGTCCGTATTGAAAGCTAACTTTAAGATGGATGTTGGGGTTGAACCCAGATGAACCTTCTTGACTTGGCCTTCCTATGTGGTAAGGGCAAGTCGTCTGGGTTTTTTAAAAAAATTTTTTTGGGGGGAGGGAGGGCTTAAAATTTGCAAGTGCAGATTCTACATACTTAGCATGTAGAACGTGACATTTTGGCTTCTGTACATATTATGCAGAAGATTAACTGTGTGTCACCTCGTGGACATAAAGTGGTTGGATTGATATTTTTTTTTGTTTTTAAACACACATGGTGGATAGAGGGTCCGTGCATTCGCAGGCTGAGGCAGGTGGACTTCCGCTTCAAGGCCAGTTTAAACTAGGTAGTGAGGGGCTGGGGAGATGGCTCAGTGGTCTAAAGCACCTACCTAGAACAAGCTAAGCAAAGCACAGGGACCGCGGTTCAATCCCCCAGCACTAAATTGCCTAACTGGGCCTGAACTTGCCACCCTCCTGCCTCAGGTCCCCAGAGTGCTGGTGTGACAGAAGTGCCACCACACCTGGCTTCATGCACTGCTGTTCCTTAACATCAAATGATGCAGTAGGCACCTGTGTTCTGCACGCTCCCTACTCTTCATGCCTCAAGCCACGTGCCTGTGAAGCCCCAGGTGACAGCTGTTAGGCTGCATCAGTTGGGACAAAAGACTGGAAAAATCCCCACGTTTTCAGTGTTTTCTCTCTGTGCACAAGGTCCTGTCAGGTGTGGACTGTGGGGATGAGGAAGGCCAATTGTAATTTAATGTGACCAATGATACTGTCTCACTGGAATGAGACCAGAGTTGAGTGTAGTAAGGGAGAGACGGAACCTCTCCTCTGCTGCTGCGTGTGCTGGGACTTTATGCTTGTACCAGTGATGGCGATGGAGAGTTGCCGTTCAGGTAGGAGAATTGCAGGAAACAGCGTGGGTGTTGTTGGGCCCTCGGCTCTTCAGCGTAATCACTCGCCGGTCATCTGATAGTTCTCCAGTGTGGTTTTGTTTTTGGTCTGTCGTTTTGTTTTGGTTTTATTTTTATTTATTTATTTTTTTAAAATATAACTTTATTTAGTGTGTGTGTGGCCAGCTCAGCCCACCAGGGGGCGGGGCTGGCTGGCATGTGGTGCTGGGGGATTGAACCGCGGTCCCTGTGCTTTGCTTAGCTTGTTCTAGGTAGGTGCTTTAGACCACTGAGCCATCTCACCAGCCCCTGTTTTGGTTTTAGTACTGGGAGATGAACCCAGGACCTTCACACTGAGCTACATGTCTAGCGCTTTTTCCGTCTTTGAGGCAGAATCTTGCTAAGTTGAACGGGAGGCCAGAGTTTGTGATTCCCCGGCCTCAGCCTGCGAGAATTCAGGGATTCTAGGTAGGCGTGACCTTGCCCAACTTCAAATGCTTATTGAATAAGGGAAGCACTTGAGAGAGCGCAGGGACCAGGGTTCGGTCCTGGGTCCCACATGCCGTGCCAGCCCTGCCCCTGGGGCGCTGGCGACCTAGTCCAGGCTTGGTGGCGCACACCTGTAAGCCCAGTGCTGGAGAGGCTGAAAACAGGAGGATCACGAGTCCGAGCTGCAGAGTGAGACCCTGTGCCAAATACACAAGTGGAAAAAGAACCAACCAGGTCCCAAATAACTTTATGACTTAGTAAGGCTGTTCTAGCCACCACATTCCCAAATTCAGATGTACATTTATGTGTGGGGGGGTATATGTGTGTGTGTTTAGGGGACTGGACATCAAATTCAGGGCTCTCGTGTGGAGCGACATCCGCAGCACT